GCCCTATTTCTTTGGTTCTGCATGTATTCTGTGAAATAATATCAGCCTCCTCATTTTCCCACTATTCTTGCAGATTATTAAAAATACATTTTGATGCCATCTAGTCTTGGCTTCTTGTGAAATTGTTCCATTCTGGAAAGAAAACTCTGAAACACTGGCCATGAGGATCATTATACTTCCCTTTCTCTTCCTTGGTAATCAAGTACAAGTATCCTTTTCGCAGGATAATATGTAAAGTATTGTGGTAATATCCTTGATGCATTTGAAAGGACTCTTTATAGCTTATGTCTGAATCTTCGTTGGCCCCCAATCCATTCCTCTAAAATTTGGTTAGAATCTCATAGAGGACAGTTCAAAATTTCAACTTTGCTTCTCCAATAGCAGTAGGAAAAAATAGTGGTAAGAGCAACCTCTGCAGTTTAAGAGATCCAGATTGGAATCTAAACTCTTTTTCTTCTGATCTGTATAATCATGGGCAAGCCCCTTTCCTCTCAAAGCTTCATTTCCTCATCTTGAAAGTGGAAACTACCACTACCATCTACCTCATAGGACTGTGAGGATTAAATACATTCTTACATTTGAAAAGCCTGACTCAGAAATGTTTCCTCTTATTAGCTTGGAATTCTTTAAATAGGGTTTGCCAATGGGTTCATTTGAAGCGATGCAAGAAAAGTCTTTATAGCTCTGTTGCTTCCTATTTCTTTCTATGATGATGAGCTTTAGGGAAATCCTCACAGAGGCCATGCTCGTCAGAGCTTGCTTCTACTCCATGCCCTAAATCCTGCCTTGCCACTAGTGGGTTGGAAGCCAGTGCTCCAGAACCTCGGACAGCTCCACTCCTTTGTGACTGCTGGCAGCCCAAAGGAACTGGAGAGATTTGGGGGATTTTCCCAGAAAGGCTGCATTAGTGTTTGGAATTAGGAATCCCAAGGGCTTCATTCTCATTCGCAGCATGCATGCTATTTGCTTGCATCCTCAGATTCTTAACATGACCAGTTCTCCTGGAGAAATTCTGAGGAGCCTCTCCTCTTCAGAAACCCGTTAACTACACTCATAAGATTTACTAAATCTTCACCCCCTTTCCTTCTCTCCTGTGAACTCCAGGGATTTTTTTGAGCCCAAGAACAGAAACACCACCCACATCTTCCTGTATCTGCTGATATTTAATTTGTTTGGCTTCTGTACAAGGATTAAACATTCTTGATTAACTTCAAGTGAAAGTAATAATGTATGAGCATGAAGAAAGGCTTTACAAGACAAAGAGATTCAGGTATGAATTAAAAGAAACATAAAATAATATTGCCTGTAGGTGATGTTAAGCGCCATTCTCTAATCAGAACAAGCAGGTGGTTCAATTTATGAGATAATTTAGCTTTTCACTCTTCTAATGCAGAACACAACACACATATGCAGTCACCTTCTGAACAGGCAAGGAAGAGATTAAGTCCTATTTTTACTTTATGATACTGAGTCACATAGTTCAATGCAAATCACATGGATGCCAAAGTAAGAACAATACCAGGTATTTAAATACCTCCTTTCCTTTGAGGAGCTCTAAAGATTTTGTGTCTATGTGAAATCCCTTCAGAGTAATTCTGGGAGAAGAGACACACATCACCAGATGAGGATTTAAGACAGCATGTTTCATCCATCTCTCCTACTGCCATGATTTCACGATTAAGTCTGGAAGAGCCAGTGTTTGCCAGTTCTTTGCACTTAGTAATAGCCTCTTGATTTCTACATTTTCTGGGCCATATTGTCAACTAGTGAAAGAAAGCTTATCTTTGAAAATATGTTATTGACTAATTTAATGATGAGGAAGAGAGAAGGATAAAATGGAATAAGAAGGGGAGGTGGGAATCATAGTGGGTGAGGAAGAGATAAATAAGATACCTAAAACATCCTGAGCTTGATAAGATTTTTCCACGCATTTTCCTCATAAGCAGATTTGATGCCCACCCCCAACTGGACAGAAATGTGGACAAAGGCATTTTGGCCCTCTTCAAATACTTCTTCCATTTAAAAAAAAAGATTTTATTTATTTATTTGACAGAGAGTGAGTGAGAAAGCACAAGCAGGGGGAGTTAGCAGAGGGAGAAAAAGGATCCCTGCTGAGCAGCGATCCAGATACACGTGGGGCTCACTCCCAGGACCCTGGGATCATGATCTGGGCTGAAGGCCGACCTTTAACTAAGCCACCCAGGTGCCCCTTCTATATGGGCAAGGACAGTGGCAGTTCCACTGCTTGAACTAGTTTGAAGGAAATGCTATTAAAAACATCAACCTAGGACTCAAAGGCAGACAAGGAGCCCCCAAATAGAAGGGTTTGTGGTTTTTACCTAACAGGGCCCACACCCACCCGGAATCTCCACCCTACGGGAGAGTGTTAGTTGCAAAATTACTACTTTTCCCAGTAGAGGTCGCTGTGGGTACCGGCAGTGGATACTTGTTGAGACTGGACCAGGCAGGGCTGGGCTGGATGGTGGCTCCACTGCCTGGTAACTGCTCTTCCTATGGTTCCACTGACAGCAGTCTAGCCCCTCATCCTACGGGAAGGAGGTCTGTGGTGGGGATTATCTCAAAGCTATACAACGCCTTTGCTGTAAAAGCACAATGAAACTGAGGTCACTTGCTGGAAATGGGCATGTCTGTGGGAGAGCTGTCATCCTCAGAGGTGTCCACTCACAGTAGTATCTCTGTCTCACTAGTGCCCTCTCTGTAGTATACCTGGTATTACTGAGACGCTACCTGCCAATAACCAGCAACCTAGACTATGGCCCTTTGGGACATGAAAGCCAGACTGAAAAAATTTGCCTTGCCACAAAATCTTACACCCACATCATAAGAGACTGTGCTGATGAGCGCCTCAAGCCCCACCTGGAAGCCCACATGGAGGGGTAGGGCGGAATTCTGGGCCTCAGGGGAGCCCATTACAGCAAGATAAGGTTTCTCGGAGATGGGAAAGGCAGGACAATGGTAAGGAATGTTAGGGTCAGACCTGAGACCCCAGAAAGGCTGTAGAGGGCTCCACATACTTGTAAGGTCCTATCTTCTAGGCCACACCCCTGCATGCAGGCTAGGCCGAAGGCAGCCTGAAGCTACCTTCACCCTGAGGACACACACTGAGACCTTAGGTTATTACGGTGGCTTTAGAGTGGAAGGGGCTCCTACCCTGCCTCCACTCCTAGCATCTAAGGTCAGCAGTAAGTGGCTCCTCTTCTCACAACCACACACAGCCAGATTCACAAGCTCACCATGACACACACAGGAACACTGGAGCACACACTGGCACATTCACCCAGTCATACATGTTCACGCTCTGATCCATGCAAACACCTTCGGAACCTGGAATCAAACTTGACCTAACGTGGTTGATGGGGCACAGGGGCGTCCAGTCAGGATGGCCCTCCAGACACTGGCCCACTTAGGTCTCCTGTATCCTGGGACCCTCCCCTCCAGGCGGAGCCCCCCCCCCCGCCCCCGCCTGTCCGCGTCCTCGTGGTCACAGGTCTTGAATGTCTCCCAGAAGGGACCCTGATTACCATCGCACACACGGCATCCTGGGGTACCGGGCCGGCGTAGGGGGGGATGTGCCGGAAAGAAGGGTGCGGGGCATAGTACCCAGCCAGGGCGCAGCCGCCTCCTCCCTCGGGATTTTCCATCCCGGCTCGCGCAGGCCCGAGAGGAGCGAGCGCGCTTTGTCTCCCGCCCGGCTCCTGGCATGTTTCCGCGGAAGCTCTCTCCGCGCCGCGCCCGGAGCCCCCCCTTCCCTGGCCGCGCCCCCCGCCCAGCGGGTGGCGCAGGCCCGCCAGTGCAACGACCGCCGCTTTGTCCTACGGAGGATGCTTGGGCCGAGCGCAAAAGCCGGGTTCCCGAAGCGGCCGCCGCGCGCCCTAGAAGCAGGTAGCCAGATCTAGGGCGCGCCTTGCATTTAGCCGAGCAGCCCCAAAGGTCTGGGGGCGCAGGGGGAGTCTCCCCCGAGCTTCGGAGTGCTAGAAAGGGGACCCGCCCCGTCCCGCCCGCACGTGCCCATCCTCGTCGGGCTCCCTGCAGCGGTGCAGAAGCCGGGTCGCGGGCGAGGCGGGACGGGGCGGGGCTGGGAGGGTCGTCTCGACTTTTGGCCCTTGGCCTGGATCCAGGTAGAGAGGGCCTAGGAGGTAAGGCTCAGGTAGGGAGAGGTAGGGAGGACTCCCTCCACGCCTCTTACTTTCCCCCACCGCACATCCACACCCAGCCCACTCGGACCTTAGGCGAGGGGCCCTGAGCATGAGCATCGAGAACCCCGAGAATCCGCCAGTGCTCTCCGGTGCCGGCCACTTCAAGCACAGTGGAGAAGGTCTCCCAGCCTTAGCTCCTCACATCCCAACCCCCTCCCCCCAATAACCTAGGCGGGTCCAAGTGGGAGGAGGAAGAGTCCCCTGTCTCCATCCCCATCCCGTTTCTCCTCTTCACAAAAACCTAGGCTTCAGGAAAGGGGTGGCATGGAAAGGATCTATCTGACATCCCAACAGCCCCTCCCCAATAAGCCCAGGAAGGTCTGAGCAGAGGAGGAAGAGCCCCTCGTTCTCATCCATCGTACCCAGACCCCCTTTGTAACCTCAAGCAGTACAGGTGTTGTGGGGAAGGGTCCGCCTGCCTCAGAACCTTTCATCCCGTAACACTCCCTCCCATCGTCAATAATCCAAGCAGCCTCGTTTTCAAGCACGGGGGTGGGGGAAGGCTCCAAGCTCCCCAACGCCCTCTCGGTAGAGATGGGGGGGGTCCCTCCAGCCCTTGCCCCTCACACTCTCACACTGCGCCTCCACCATAAAACAAAAACTAACCCAAGCAGCTCCGACTTCAGGCGCCGGGCCACAGGGAGGCCCTCGAGTCAATCAGCAGCTCTTCGGGACAGATGGTCTTGGGGGCGGTGAGGAGAGGTCCCATGAACTCCCCAGGCCCCCTCATATCTCAGTTCATTCCCTCCCCAATGAAACAAAAGCGAACCCAGCAGCACCGACCTCAAAGAGGAGGGAGGGCTGTCAGCGCTCGGCAGCGCAACCAGCTCCTCTGGGCTCCTCACTGCCCGGCTTTCCCGCGGTGGCTCTCGCGGCGGCGGCGGCGGCGGCGGCGGCGGCGGCGGCGGCGGCGGCGGCGGCGGCGGCGGCGGCGGCGGCGGCGGCGGCGGCGGCGGCGGCGGCGGCGGCGGCGGCGGCCACCGCAGCTCTCGCGTCCGGAACCTCCCTCGGACTCAGCACCTGGAGCTGCGAACAGCTCCGCGCCTCATTCCGCTGACTCCGCCTCCCCTGCGCCGCCGTAGCCAATGGCGATCTTGGCCCCGCCCACGAGGCCGCCCATTGGGGGCGCCTACTCCGTTCTCTTCTGTCCAGCCTGCTGGTTTCTCGGGCTCTCCATCAAGACCGCATCCCCCAGAGGCTGCCGGAGTTTTTGCACAGCCTTCTGGAACTTGTAGTCCTTTAAGGACGCGGAGGGGGCTTATGCCGCAGGCAGGTAACCGAAGGTGGACTTCATTTCCCAGGGTGCATGGAGCAACCGAGGCGCTGAGGAGGGCGGGAGGAACTGTTTCCATAGCAAAGGCGGCTGGTTGGGGACTGCTGACGGAGAAATGGGGCAGGCCGCGGGACCATCGGATTGTGCGTGACTTCGGGCAGCCCCTTGGGAGGGCGTTTCGATTTTTTTTTTCTTTTTTCTTCTCGATACCCATCACTGGACTTTGGGCCTCAGTTTTCCTATCTGAGAAGAAGGGCTTGGATCCGATCCGTCCTCCTGCCCGCGGTCCGCGGGCATGGGGCAAACCGAGGTCGAGCCCTTTGGTTTGCCGAGCAAAGGTGAGAGAGGACGGAGGAGACCTGTGGCTTCAGAGTGTGGCATTCTGAAGTTTATCCCTTTATTTTTGTCTCGATTTATCATGGAAGAGCGCTTTACTTCTAGTCATATCCCTTGAAGCAGGCCTTCTCCCCCGGTCTATCCCCTCCCAGACTGGCCTCCCTACACCACCCCCGATACCGCATTTCCCCCGGGGTCGCCAGAGGGCGCTACTCACGCTTCCGATTGCCTATGGAATTAAGCCCACACTCCTCTCAACGTTGCTCTAAAAGCCCTTCTGAATGTGGTGACCACCTCGTTCTTGCACCACTCCGAACTTCTTGGTAGCTGGGAAGCCTTAGCCACCCGTGTTCTCTCGCTACGGTGGTTCCCTCCACCCTTGCACTCGACTAACCGCTCGCCCTCTTCAAGCCCCAGCCTAGGCGTTGTCTCATCCGTGAAGCCTTCCTAGATGCCTGGCTGCATATTAGGTACCCCACCTTGTGTGTGTGAACCGCGCCCTCTACTTCCCCTATCTACTTGCGTGTTTGTGTATGTATCCATTTTCCACATTAGTTTGTAAGATTCACGGAACAGGGGCCATGTCTATATTATTAATACTTACAGTCCAGTGCCTATCGTGTCTGGCACGTAGCAGGTACTTCCTAGATATTTGTTGAGTTGAAAATGAATCGAACAGTAATTGAATTTTATTCACACCTCCATGCTCTTCCATTTCTTAAGGTTGCATATTTCCCATTGCTGGAAGCATTCAACCAGAAGGATGCCACGGCAGTGAGGAAATGTTTATGTCATTCATACAGTGGATTGGAATTTTGCCTGAATGCTTTGGGAGCCCTTACAATCCTATGACGCTAGGGATTGATAGATTCATGCCAATCATTCCTTGGAAGTCTTGTCAATTCTCCCCTAAATGTCATCAGTTCTTCATGTTCCTCTATTTCTAGCTGTTTGCCCTTCTCCTTTTTTGTGCCTAAATTCCCTGCCTCCCACTCCCTTTCTGGGAAAGATCTTCTGCCCCTGTCAGTTATGAAGTAATGACAGTCTGAGATCCCTGCCCTTCTTCAGTTCTCTGCTCAGCATCATAAGGCTCTGGTGCTGATGTCCCATCTTGATAGCTAATTTTTTTTTTCTGAATCTTTTCCACTCAGGGCTCTGGTGTTGGCCAGATGGTCCAATTAATCCCACACATGCTTCATATGTCACCCCATCCAGACTTTTGGGTGTATTTCAGCTAAAGCATTCTTGGGAGAATGCCTTAATATATGGGTATAATTAATTCATGGCCGAAGAAATAACCAGGGGACTATTACCCTGAGCCTGATTCAAAGCAAAAAGACAGATCCTGAGAAAAAGAAACTGTCATCCTTGAGCTGATGACATCCATGAGGGAAGACTAGGATTGTTGAAGGAGTAAAATGGGTTGCATTGGGGGAAGCACTAACGGGACCTCTAAGAGGCATGGCAAAAGGGCTTTGATCCAGGCTAAACCCTGAGGGAAGATCACTAGAGTTAGGTAAACAGATGAGGCCTCATTACTGAAGATGAGAGAACTATAAGGAGGCGGGGGAAATGGGATTTGTGCTGACACAGAGTGTCTAATTCTGTAGAAGCAGTGAGAGTAGAGGTTGTCAGAAAAGCAGGTGGGGGAAGACTAGGCCACAGAGTGGGCATCAACAGAGCATTGGCAGAATATCAACAGAAGGCTAGCAAAGAACTGCCTGTAGCCACAGCTGAAACTCTGAAGGTCAGCTTAGCACTTAAGGAGTAATGCTAGTTTTCAGGAAATTGTTGCAAATAGTGAAAAAGCCAGGGTACCATGATTCTCCCAGAAAGCAGAGATTAAAATAGCATTGGTCCAGCCAAGTAGGGTAAGGAAAGCCGAGTTCTAATTCTGACTTTGCCTCTGATTAGATGTGTGACCTAGGCTGGACCTGATTCTTCAGTTGTAAAATGCTATATTGGTATTAGGGAGCAGCTAATAAGATGGAGGTAGGGAATCCAAACCCATTTACTAGCTATGTGACCTTGAACAAACTACATTATCAGATCTGTAGTTTGCTTATTTGACAATGTTGTAATAGATAAGTGAGGTAGTTTATGTAAAGCACTTCACAAATATTAAGCACTTAACATATGCTATTCATCTTCGATTATCAGAAATTGTTTTGACTATGAATAAACAGGCATGAGGTAATGTCCTGAGTAGCCTGAGTTCAAATTTCCGTTCTCTCTCTTATTAGTTGTATGGTTTTGCTTAGGCATATACTCAATACCTTTGTTTTATCTTTTTTTTTTAAAGGGTGGCCTTAGAGCAGAGAATGGAATTCTAGATGCTTGGAAGCTAGAGTTATAAAGGATTCCAGGGGAACATTAAGCTAGCCTCCTACCTTGTTAAAGGGGAAGTAAAGGTCTCAGTGAAATTCCATACGTCTTCTAATTAAGTAATGAGGGGATTAACCAGAATGTTGCAGGGTTGAAGTGATTAACCAGGGCTGGGTGTTGAAGTGCCTAGTATACGAGGCTGAGGAATATAGCTTTATTCTAAAGATAATGAAGGTTTTTACGGAGACATGCATTTTGTTTTTTTGGTTTTTTGGGGTTCTTTTTGAGACCTGCATTTTGAACAGTTCTAGGGCCTGTGTGGAGAATGGACAGGAGAAGATGAGGCTAGGATGTAGGTCAGAAGCTGCTGTAGTGATCCAGCACAGCATCTATGAAGATAGAAAAGAGGGGGCAGATCTGAGATGTCTTACAAAGGTAAATATTCAAAGGACTTTGTGAGTGATGAGCTGAGTGCACAGAGGAGAGTGGTGAGTCAAGGATGATATCCAGGTGTCTGCCTTGGGAAATTTGGTGAATGGATGGTGCAACTTTCCCCTGAGGTGAGGAAAAGTTAAGGAGCAGGTGGGTTTGAGGTGAGTAGGAGACATCCAGGTAAGATGTCCACTAAGTGACTTGGAGTTTGGCTTAGGAGAATGACTTAATATTTAGGGATTCATGGCCAAAAAAAAAAAAAAAAACAACCAGAGGGACTATTACCTTAAAACTAATTCAGACCAAAAAAAGCAGGTCCTGAGAACCTTTCATCTTTGAGAGATGAGAGATGTGATCCAGAAAAAGAATCTTAAGCTATCAAGTTATGAGCATATACTTCATAATTGAAGCCATGGGAATAGATGAAATTCTTTACTAGAGAAGATCAAAGAGAAAACCAAAATCCCTTGGGAAATACCAATATAGATAACACTTGGGAATGGTTTTGAAGAGGAAGAGGGAGAAAACCAGAAAGAATGTAGAATTGAGAGACAATTTTGTTTTAAGTTGGGAGAGATTAGGACATTCAAAAATGCTGATGGGGGAAAAGTCAGTAGAGGTATAGTTGAGGATAAAGGAAAGAGAAGGGTTGACAGGTGAACTGAGATCAGTTAGAGGGTAGGAGGTGGTAGGGTTCAGAGTGAGTCTCAGGTAAGAGGAGGGCCCACTTTTCCTTTGATGGGGAAGGGAAAAAAGGAAGGAGGAGTTGGAGATGCAAGTAGGTTGATAGTCAATAGGTAGGTGGTTGGGAGGTGGGCTCAGGAAATGGAGGCACTTTATACCTAATGGCCATTACTTCTCATGGGATATCAGAGGCAAGGGAATCTGCTCAGCATGAGGAAATGAGTTGGAATGGAAAGCTTGGAAAAAAAAAACAGTGAAAATGTTCAAGATAGCTGCTGTGGAAAATAGGAGAGAAAGCTAATAGCAACCGACAGGCACTGCAGAGCAGTGGTAAAGACCTGCTGAGCTTAGAGGTGATGGATTTGTAGGGGCAGTAATTTGCGGGGTTATAGGTTTTCTTCAGCATCCTATTTGTCCTGAGATATGCATGGAGGAGGCCCCTTGTGAGACTGATCCAGGTCTTGGCTTTGCTGGACAAGGAGATAAGAAAGCAAGGAAGTTGGAAATGTTGACAAGAGAGTTAGAAATACTAGTCCACCAAGAGGAAGGAGGTGAAACCAGGATAGCGTGGGCAGATGAAAGGAATGGGGTTCTCAGTGTAGCAGAAGATAGATATGATGGGTGGGAGGGCAGGGAGTGCAGTGCTGATCGGAGGTAGAGGAACTCTGGTCAAGGGCACTGGCTGGAATGGACAAAGAAGATCATGGGAAGAAGGTATTGAAGGCAATTTTGTAGGTCACTGGCAGGGCTTCCAGAAAGATGGAGAGAGGAACCCCAGTAGCCCTTGTCAAACTGTTTAGTGAGTGGGAAGTTAACAGATGGTAAGGAAAATAGATAGGGTGCAAGATCTCTGACATGAGTGTCA